CTCTTTATTTAAATCTGCAGTATCTCGCTTGTATAAAGCAATATGAAGATTATTTTTTTTACGAAAAACTGAGAAATTTTATAGGCAATATTTTGTCTCAATTATTATAGGGTCTATTTTTAAAAACAAACCCGCTAGAACCATTTAAACACAATAAAACGCGCGAAAGCGGCTGGATTGGGCGACTTCCTCTCCATTCCCGCAACCACCCGCCGCGGCCCGCGCCCTGCCTGTAATTCAGAAGGAGGGAGTTTAGTAGAAGTGAATGTCACAGATTCCGTAATTTATAAAGTTTGCAATAATAATATTTATTTATTTATAGATTTTCTGGCTTTTGTAAAGTATATTATACAGGGTGTCCCAGGGAAAACAATCCACCCCGATTTATAGGATTTGGGATGAGAATCTGGGAAAACGCTCGGACACGTCAATGTTTGATTTGAGGGAGAACTATTTTTCAGTTTTTTTCATCCCCAAAGCTTCAACCCCCTAGCTAGAGGAAGAACAACCCCCCAAATTTGAATAGGGAATAGGGGTCGCATCTTACCTCTTTATAAAGGTCTTATCGAGTTCTTCATGGTCCTAGAATTTTATCTTATCATTCTCATCCGTAAAGAAATGACAGCTTGTCAAAATCTTGGAAATAGACTATTGTTTTAGTAGGAGTAAAAGCGGGTACTTACCTCCCTTAATAAAAATACTTGTAAAAATACCTACAATTTAAAATTCTCGTGTACACCTCATTAATAATAATAATAAAAAGCTTCAATTTCAAGTATTTTTATTAAGGGAGGTAAGTATCGCTTTTACTCCCACTAAACTAATGTATTTCCAAGATTTTGACAAGCTGTCCTGTCATATCGTTACGGATGAAAATAATGAGACGGACTTCTAGGGCCATAAAGAACTTGATGAGACCTTTAACAAAAGACATGTCACGACCCCTATCCCCTATTCAAATTTGGGGGGTTGTTCTTCCCCTAACTAGGGGGTTGAAGCTACGGGGATGAAAAAAAGTGAAAAATAGTTCCACCTCAAATCAAAAATCGACGTGTCTGAGCGTTTTTCCAGATTCTCATCCCGCATCCAGTAAATCAGGGTGGACTGTTTTCCCTGGGACACCCTGTATATATCAAGCATTTTTACCTATGCCTATAAAGTACTAGTTTTATAGGGGTGAGTATCTAAGAATATTTGTTATTATGTTGTAAAATTTTTGTCGTAGTTTGCGTAAATAGGAAGTACACACACAAGCAATATATAATTTCGCCCCAGGGCTGCCACCTTTTAGGTTTAGAAATAGGTATGATAACTTTTTTTTTCTTGTGGGATGGGTGGCAACCTGCGCAAGAGTTGCCACCAACAGAAGACAGCTTCAGATTGCATCTCGGTTTGCATGTACTTAGGTGAATAACTACATATTTGAACGATTTTTATAGACGTTTTCCACCACAATTTTTTTTTCTGGAATCCTATAATTTTAACGAATTTTGAAACGTTTTGTTGTAGGTCGTATTATTAAATTCAGACCCATTTGTCCTGACAATATAGTTTCTTGTATTGGTGCTTTAAAAAATACTGATTGGGCTTCACTCTTATACGAACTAGATACAGACAATACTTTTAACACTTTCTTGGGCATTTTTTTGGATGTCTTTGAGTTCTATTTCCCACAAAAAACTAAAACATGTCACAGTAGCAATAGTGACAAGAAATGGTTCAGTAATGAGCTAAAGTACCACAGAGACACACTAAACTTTCTTACAGCTTTTGATAAACAAAATCCGAACGTCAACTGTTCTGAAGCAATAAAACGACAAAAACAACTGTATAGGTCAGAAATAAATAAGGCAAAAGTCAATTTTTTTTCCAACAACATATTAAACAATACTAATAAACCCAAAGCTATATGGGATATTATAAAAGCTTCTCGTAACAAGGAAAATTCGAATCCACCTCCCACAATCTCTCCAGAGGAGTTCAACAAGTTCTTTATAAACATTCCAAACACCATATCAGCCAATCTTCAAAGATCTGGTGCTGACCCTTCAGAATTAACCTCTACATTTATTCACAATAACTATACAGTTTTTTTAACTCCAGTAACACCTGCAGAGGTAGTAAGTATCCTGAGTTGCATGAGCGACAGCAAAGCAAAGGATGTCTTTGGTCTAAGCAACAAAATCTTGAAGCAACTCGCGGAAGGACTTGCCCTTCCCCTTTCCATAATTATAAACAGATGCTTTGAGGGTGGGAATTTCCCAAGTAAGTTGAAAGCCAGTAGGGTAGTACCTATTTTCAAAAAAGGGGATGCAAATGACCCTGGAAACCATAGACCGATTTCTGTGGTACCGGCCTTGTCAAAACCAATTGAGATCAGCCTAAACAATCGTTTAACCATATTTTTAGAAAAGAGTAAGCTGCTGTCCAGCCATCAGTTTGGTTTTCGTAAAAAAAAATCTACAACAGATGCAATAAGAGCCCTGGTGGAGCATATAGTTGGATGCTTCGAGGGGGCAGAGTCGGTTATGGCCATCTTCTGTGACCTCTCGAAGGCGTTCGACTGTGTGTCACACCAGATACTACTAAACAAGCTGGGCTACTATGGCATTAGAGGCAACACACTGCATATAATTGAGTCATATCTTTCAGACCGCTACCAGCTGGTGGATCTTGATGGTAAGAGGTCTTCGGTGCTGCCTGTTGTTGCAGGTGTACCACAGGGATCCATACTAGGGCCATTACTATTCATTCTATATGTGAATGAACTTCCATCTATTTTTCCAGAATTGAAAACAATACAGTACGCAGATGATACAACCCTCCTTGACCACCATTGCAACACTGCCCAGCTTCATCCTGCATGTGTTTCCACCATTAAGAAACTTCACACATGGTTCGCTGACAACAATCTCTGTTTGAACCTTGATAAAACCAAAACCATAACCTTCTCCCTAAAAGAAAGAGAGGAGGCCAAGGCCCTTAAATTCCTGGGGGTCCAGTTCGAGAGCAGACTGACCTGGAAAAACCACATTATCCAACTTTCTAAGAGTCTCTCCTGTACCCTTTATCTTCTTCGCAGAATCGCACCTATCACCCCAATTGAAGTATCCCGTGCAGCCTATATGGGACTCTTCCAATCTAGGCTGTCATACGGCCTGCTTTTCTGGGGATGTTCTGTTGACTGGCCAAAAGTTTTTAAAATCCAAAAAAAAGCCATCAGAACGATTGGAAGACTGAAACCAACTGAAAGCTGCAGACCTTTTTTTCGTGATCTCCAAATACTGACCCTACCAGGTATGTTCATATACCAGTGCCTCAACTACACAAGAGCACATATATCTGAATTCTTAACAGTCAATAGCAGACATCACTACCCGACTAGACATGGTGAAGACTTATTAATTTACCAACACTGACTAACACTAACTCATAAAACTTACATTAATAACAGCATAAAACTTTATAACTGGCACCTGAGATCAAAGCTCTGCCTCCTATTATGTTCAAAAATAGAATAAAAAAGTTACTTTTAGAATTGTCTCCTTACACTTTGGAAGAATTCTATGTCAATTATAGATAGGAAAACAATATGTTTGTCATAATAATTGTTTGTTTTGTATCATCACTTATTATTGTTTAATTTATTACTACTTATTGTTGAATTGTGTCTTCTATCTTTTGAAGTTATATCTGTACTGTATTTGTTCACTTATATAGTCGTTGACAATGCTAAACATTTTATTGTATTTGAGCAAATAAAGAATTTTATTATTATTTTATTATTATATTATTATTATTACCAGGTTCATATTTGGGTGAACAGCCATATTGATATGGTTTCACAATTAGATTTAATCAAGTTTGGATGGGAAAAAAGTAATAGTTCTCTCTTGCCAAAAATGATGAGTCAACCTGTAGTTCCAGAAGAGATTAGGCATAGATAGACATAGTATCTATATTTTGCAATAAAAAAAATTGCATGAATCAAAAATGTCTGTGCATTAAAGAAGTCGTTTTTTGTATGGAAGATTGCAAATGTAAAATGGAATGCTCTAATCGCCCTTCTGTTCTCGATTTAGTATCCGAAGAAAACGAGCTGGATTTGGAATTATTTTGAATAAAAAAAAAAAACATACAAGTTCTAAGTACTACAAAAGCACAAACCAAAGTTTATAATACCATTGGTTCGAAAGAAATGGTGCAGCAAGCGAAGTGTCGCGTCGTTCGACTCGTTCGCAATGGAAAAATCCCGCCTTTAGCGTGTCACATAGGCATGCGCCCCGACGCTTAAATGCTGCTACTCGTTTTATTTGTAGAAATAGAGCAAACGTTAATTGAGATAAAATAAAGTCCATTAAACTGCGCAGTTTTTGAATAAAAAATAATGCGAATAGCTTCTTGCATAATAGAAAGTTATGGCAAGGTGAGCTTAAAAAATTTTTGACAATTAGTTGACTTTTTTTAAATATTACAGTTTTTCAAATATGGGTTACAACTATTTTTCAATAAAATACATACCAAAAGATAGGAAACTGGAAGGGGAATGAAAATTAAAAAAAAAACTTTGTTCTACCTTGTCTAGAAAGAAAGTTATGAGCGTTTAAAGTTAAAAAAAAAAAAATATATGCTTTTTTTTCAGTTTTTTGCCCATATCTTTGGTCTCGACCAATGGAGAGTGTCGTCAATTTCCATTTTCTACGTAAAAAAATAGGGTTCTTCAATTGGTGAAGGTCCCATTTGGTTATACCTCGGTTTTTTTTTTGTGCTTCCTAGACAGGCCAGGCCGCTAGACTATGAGGGCTATACCTACTTTAAGACTGCTATGTGTACTTACCTACAAGAACCAGTCAAGAATCAAGATAGGCAGAAGATGTTTTATACATTTTCACTGACTTTCACGATTACGAAAACCAAAGTTCAGATAAAGGAAATTCCTATAATTCACGAGTGATGAATTTCGCCTATTTTTTAGGGTTGCCTAGAGATTGTCAACTTACCAAATGTGCGTAATTCCAGTAGATGTATGTCTGACAATAGCATCTTCTCCACACTGTGATAAAACCGCCAAAGCTGACGTAGGATCGAATTCCCTGTTCAATGGAATAACAGAAACAAAAATAGGAGCAAATTCAAGTCCTCCAAGAGCTCTTTTCTTATTCAACACTTCTTCCCTTTTGTTCTGCCGAATTTGAAGAGACTGATGCCTTCGTTGGTCTCTGTTTAAGTCCCTTTTATTTTTCTTAGAAAGGCTTTTTAAAGAGACTTTTCCTAAAGACGAAAAACAGGATTACTGACATGCAAAGCAATCACATTTTTGAGTAGTACCTTTTGTAGCTAGGCTTATTGATCCTTTAGAACGATGTCTGCCGTGTTTGTGCGTCTTATTACTTTGTTTGAAGGGTCCTGGTCTATGGGCTTCGTTCTTTTCCAAAGCCATTTTCGATTTTACAGATTGAAAATTTTTTTAGAATAAAGTATTTCATCAAGGAAGTACGCACGGCACATGCTGAAAAATAAAAACAAGAATGACGTAACCGTAACCTCAACGTTCAACTTTTTCAAAGCAGGGCTTGTTCGATAACTTGATTTATGGTATGAAAACTGAGAATCGCGCTCCGCGGTTCGACAAACTCGATCACGTGCATTTGCATTCTGGCTGATGAGCTCAACCAGTAGAGTGAAAGTAGATAAAGTCTGTTTTTATTCTCAGTCTACTCTCCACTCTCCATGTATCAACGGCAATTAGGCAATCCAACGACCTGTCCAAATGGCGTCTGGTTGGCAAACAATAAACAAAAAACATATGTTTTTTTTTTGGCAGGATTAAGCCTAGTACTCATAACAGCGATTTATGCATGAATCAAACGTCAAATTGTCGAAGCAATGTCAAAAAAGAGCGAATTTCGCGGTTATGAGTACTAGGCTTTATCAATACACGGGGTGAGTACTCAAATCTGACACTTTTCTGACATCGTTGACCCGTATTCTAACCTCATAAAAATTTTAAAATGCCGGCTGGTTGGCAAAAGTCACGTGGTTTGGATTCCCTAATTTAGAATCCCTCAAACACTCAAAAAAGTTCATTTGCCACCACGCCAAAGTACCATTGATGTCGTAGGCAGCGTGTCGATTCTCTCCTAGATTTAGGCTGTTTGCACTTAAAGGCTATGACTTGACTGCGCTGGCTTTTGAGGTATGCATACTTGGTTTTAGTACATAATTTACATTCTAAAAACAACCTTTTTCAAATCTCGTTTGCATCTTTCTCTTTGCCTATTATGTTTATCAAAATTAAACGTTTTATGAGAGAATTTAATGAATCAAAAATTCAAAATTTTTGCCAAAAAATGTTGAACCACCAGTTCTCGCCAGGGACTTGGACCGAAATGAAATATCGGTTCCGTTCCGGTTCCGGTCCACAGCGTCATGACAAATATCGGTTCTGTTACGGTTCCGGTTCTAAGAGAAATATTTCGAATCGGTTCAGACCAATAATTTCGGTTTTAACGCTTCATACCGGTATAGTTTTACACAAATATCTAACAGAAAAATTTAAAAAATATATTTAGGAGAAAAATTAAAGTATCAGTGATGACGGCGCAGCGTGTGATTTCTCGCCTTGACGTAAGGTGTTTGCATAGGGTTGCCAGGGGCGCGTTCAGATTGAAGAGTCCGGACGACGCGACGTCCAGTGAAGAGCGCACCCGATAGAGTGCGCACTCCGAGTGTGCCCGGGTAGTGCCCGGCGATTCGCCCAATCTGAACGGCCAAGACGCATTCTTTCTTTATAACCTCAATGATTCTAACATTTTTGCCGTTTTCTTCAGGGCGCGTTCAGATTGAAGAGTCTGGGCGACGTCCAGTGCAGAGCGTACCCGATAGAGAGTGCACTCCGAGTGTGCCTGGCGATTCGCCCAATCTGAACGGCCAAAACGCATTCTCTCCTCATAACATCACTATTTATGGGATGCTTTGATTTTGATTTTGTTGCCTTTTCAAAATTCACTGTGTTCGTGATTCTAACATTTTTGTAAAATAAGAAAAAAGAAAATTCAAAGATAATCAACTCTTATTTTATTTTATTTTGATTTTTTTGGTAGAACTTATCACATATAAAATAATACCTCTTAACCCCTAATTCTTATTTTAATTTATTTCCTATTTTATTTTATTTGTTGGATAAACTCGCCATAACTCCCAACAATATTATTTACAATATTTGCCTTTATTATTTGGTTAGAACATAAACATAACACAAACGCGCATGCGGGGCAAATTTTATCTTACTATTTTATGGGATGCAAAAGTGTGCGTCGGGGTGTCGTCAGGTAAAAATCTACTGACAATCTGAACGGCTGGGTAAATTTTACCCAAAGCAATCTGAACGGTCAGAGCGCGCTCGGGCGACAACCGACGTTCAATCTGAACGCAGCCCAGGCGTCACACATTAGTTGTATTCAGTTCAAGAGCTTGAAACACTCGAGCTACTCGCTTCGGTGCTTAGTCGCCCCAGATTTGCAGGGAACATATGCGTGGTGCAACAAACACTTTTCGAAAGGAATAAGCGCGTGAAGCCCCGGAGCTGTTCCGGAGCTGCTCCTAGGTGTGAAAAGAATACAACTATTAGGCGTGATTGTCACGATTTTTTAATGGTTGTCACGCATCACACCCAGGGTTGCCAACTTCTGAAATTGGTTCACCTGGAGATTTTTCCCCGATTCAAATAAAAATGGCGTTTTTCAAAAATATGTTAATTGAAACAGCAAATCACCCAATCATTTTAACATTAAACTGAAAACAGATCCCATTAGATGTCTTTCTAAGTCTGTTCTCACAGAAATCAGAAACCACGCAACCAGTCAGAGCGTTTCTGATTGGTGCAAATAGCCAACAACCAGTTTTCTGACTATTTTCAACCAATGAAATTCGCTCTGACTGGTTTGTGGTTTCGGTGAGAACAGACCTTCTTTTACGTTGTCTCTCTCTGTATTTGCCAGTGATAGTACATATTTTTTGGTTAATTCGTGAAATAATTTATAGCTCTCTGTTCTAACCGACATGAGAACCGATCTAGAAGCAGTAATTTCCATCAGTTGCCCACCTATTTTTCAATAAGTTGAACATTTATTCTACTTGACAAATAAATTGATCGACTGGAAATTACCGTTCTAAATAGAACGGTTCCTATGTAGGTTGGCACCAGGGTTGCCAGACGTCCCACCTTAGGAGGGACAGTCCCGCATTTTGTTAATCGGTCCCGCCTTTTTTTTATTAATTTCAAGTCCCACTTTTCACGTGAATTGTCCCGGTTTTCCCGCTTTTTCTACCCAATCTTCACATTTAGTAGAGTAATTTCGGGGAATATGGAATAGTCCGGGGGTGCGTTCAAGGACGGCAATGCTAATGCCAAAACCTACTTTTCCCCCTCCACCTGTCCTGTAATGCCGAACCACGTAGGTTGGAGCCGAATTCGAAATGCCAATTTTGTTTTTGGCTTGGCTATAGCCATTCCTGAACGCAGCCCTGGTAATATGGAATTCACCATATTAGTTAGGTTAGGAAAAATCGGGCGCGAAATTTAAAATGGGTTCCTAAACACATTTCAACAATTTTGACAGCAATGTATTTCTTATGGGGGATTCAAAAGAGTGATTTTCAGACGGGAATATCTTGGGTTCTGGACATTTCTTAGTATTTGAACCTATTATACGTCAAACTTTGAACATATTTCTCTATAATTCATGCTCTAATTGTTTTTTTAGACCTATGAATTAAAAATACAAATGATTTTAATTAAAAGTGTCTGTTTTCGGTGGACGTACGTCGGGTCTAAAACCAGCTGAGAGAAAGTGAGGTTGTGTGTTGTGTTATGATTGTTGGTGAATTGTTTATTTATTTATTTATCACTAGTTCAGTCATTTATTTTTCCATTTTTTTGGATTATTGAAGTACATCTACTAACCAAGTATGTAGGTACACTTTTATTTTATTATAATATTATAATTATAGGTACCCATATATATACTTATGGATCAAGCAACGACATACGAATTTTATACAAACATCGGCTTCTTAAATTGGTAATATTTTTATTTTAACAATGTTTATTCAACTTTCAAACACTCTCTCAGTTAATTAACATATTGAAAAATTTACTTATACAACTCACTTCCCTAACAAATGTTCTATCACGTCTACAGACGCTTTTAAAATTGAGTCCCCATAAGACATCAATGTAATAATTTTTGAATTAGGAACCCGCGCCAATTTGCGATTCTAACCTAACTAATATGGTGAATTTTTTTTGTGGGTGGCGACATCTGCATTTTTATACCTAAGCTGACATTCCCACCCTAAACTATTATTAACCTCATCAGGTTTCAACAGTTGCCTTTTTTTAGTTCGCAAAACGATATACTATATTAAACGTGTTCATCAAGTTTTGCAATAGAAAATTTTAAATTTATGTAGTGGCTGTATTTGTACAAAATTATCGCTTATACTGGCAGGTAATTCTATCCTCAGTTACTCTTTTAAATTGTTGCTAGTAGGTACATTGTTTTCAAAAACATATTTTTAGCATGTATGTACTTTTTTCTTCTGGGGGTGTTTCGGGTATTATGGGATATTCCATTGCTGCGGATGGGCCTATGAAGCTTGCACATCTGGTGCAAGAGATGTCTAGTTTTGCGATTTTTGCCAGGAGTTATAAGTTATTTCTTTGTTTTTTTTTTTTTTTATTAAATTACTGATTATTAAGAATTAAACGTATTTTTGTTTTTTTCTTCTTATGTTTTACTCTATCCCATATAACCCCATATACCTATTCCATATTACCCTCCACTTTTTTTTAGCACCTCCTAAAAGTGACCAATTTGACAGTTTATTTTCTGAACTGAATCGGTATTTTCATAATCAAAACTAATTATAAACTACTTATAGATAATACCCTGACCTTCTCATTTACCAAATTTCGGAGTGAAAAGTGTAGTTTTTTCCAGTTATTCAACAAAACGAAAATGGTATTCCATATTCCCCGAACTTACTCTACAAAAAACGCTCATTTTACAACTTGTTACTTGCCTTTGCGTTCGCTATTTTGCTCAAAGAGCAGAGCGTGCTGAGCGGAGCCGTAATCACGTGACCAGCGAGCGAACAGAGCAGTTGAACGCTGTATAAAAGTGCCAGAAATTTTAATAAAAGAACGCGAATGAGGCTGCACCGAGTACACTTTTTAAATAAACGAACGGTAAAGTCAAGCTCGGAGAACTCGGACCAAAATAACGAACGCACGGATAAATAGCTATTTCTTCATTTAAAATCGACGCAAAAGTCAAATAATGAGCCTGAATCACAAGCATTTCATCGAGGTCTGCGGGTGATGTCACCACTATTAGCTGCTGACGTGGTGACGTCACTCGCAGACCATGTGGCAAAAATATATAACATGGTCATAGAAAAAGTATAATGTTTTAATCGTCAAAAATCATTTTTTACAACTTGAAAACATTACCAATCTCGGTTTCGCCTCGTTTGATACTGTTTTTGTCACTCGTTAAACAATATACTATTATTAGAAGAAATTACAAATATGGAAATATGTATCACTATTAAAACTTGATTTGCATGATAAGAGTTTTTATATTTTTCCCGTCATCAATTTTTTTATTTATCGTTCCATTCCTTCATACTTCAATCATTCGCCTTAATATACAAATAACAATAACCTCTGTAATAATACTGATAAGATCTCACAAACTAAATTTGGGCGTGGCTCCAAAAAATTTGTTGCGCTTTTGCTCAAGGGAGTCCATAGGGGGAGGGGACACATTGGGCACTTGCCCCTTCACCCCTTATGCTTACCCTAATAACACAGTAACATCGCAGAAACATTCCAGAAACATCCATCAGGGATAATGAAGACGTCCCTGGGAGGTCCCTATTTTCCTGGGGACATCC